TTTTTTAATTGGGGATTTGGGGGAGGGGAACAGACTTGGGGAATTGGGGAGGGGGACCAGCCAAGTTGTTGTCTTCAATCTTAGTTGTGGAAGGCACCAGTCGCCATCTGGCTGACCATCGGCAACTCGTGGTCTCTAAGCTCAAGATGCCAAGTTCAGTCTGAGTTGCAGGCGGGCGTAGCCCACCATCGAACAGGCAGTCTTGTTGTTAGGATCACGTGCTCTCACCAGCTGAGCCATCCTGCCACCTGCTGGCAGCTCAGCAGCAGCTCAGCTCGGGAGCAGCGTCACTGGCCCATGTGGGAATTGAACCGGCGGTCCTGTTGCTCAGAGCTCGTGCTCTTAAGCTAATTTTTAGCCAACTGAGCCACTCGGCCGGTCCCCTGATTGGCAATTCTTGACAAAGTGGATTGCGAACATATGGAACTTACTACCGGAAGTGCAAACAAAGAGGGTCCAGAAAGATTTCGCAAAATTCATAGATGATAGATCCATACTAGGAAAACTGAGATGGTCCTTGTACCCACCAAGCTTCTAGAAAGCACAGTTCATATCCTAGAGGTGCAAAGGCTCTCGAGAGGTGAGAGGATGGGGCAAGTTACTCTAACTCCTGTGCTGCACGAGCACACAATTCCTATCTCATTATGGCACAATAAGATTGTGTTGCAATTTTATGACGTGGCTTACATTCATGTTTTCCCAAACAGTATGTAAACTCCTTGAGGCAAACGGCCCATTTGGTGCTGCATCCTCAGTACCTCCTAAGCCCGTACACGACACCCAGGAGACATTCAATAGAACTGCTCGATTTTTGAATGAATCCGATCTGTCCCTATAGCCTCCCTGTCGACTCATTGGTTAGCTCCTGATTTCTGCTCCCAGTTCCAACTCAATATTGAAAAGATTCCCTTAAAAAGTCACTAGAAAGCTCCTAACCAGCAAATGGTTGGACTTGATTCTTTTTGATTCCACTACAGTGCATGTCATTGTTGAATATGCCCAGCTCTTTCCTTCTTAATACTTCCCTCTTCTTTTGCTTCTAGAAAAACAGTGTCTGGATTCTCCTTCTATCCGCCCAACGCTCCTTGTCTATCTTCTTTGCTAGTGCTACTTTTAGCCCCTGAGTGGAGGCATATTCAAGGTTCTGGTTTTGGATTTCTTTTCTCTTCATAATACCTCTAACAATCGCTTCCATTTCCACACTATAACCAGAAAGCTCATGAACTCAATCATCTTAATATGAAATCTACACCCATATTTCCGAGAAACTTCTGAGCATCTTGACCTCAGTGCTCGGCTACCACTTTCAGTTTCACTTACCGAAAACAGAATTAACCTTCTATCAGCGCTCCTTTTCCTGATGGCAATAGTTTTCTTTCGTAGCCCAACTGTCCTTCCAAACTAATCACACTCAAAACCCTGGGATCATATTTGACTCCTGCTTGCTCCTTTTCCCCTAAGCTATCTCCTTGGACTAAGAATATGATGGTAGAGTCCTACTTCATCACTCGCATTTCTATAGATTAGATGTCCTAATACACAACTTTGCTTATGCTCCTCTGCTGCTTAAAAGCCTTCAGTATATCCTCCTTGCCTAAAGAATGATATGCTAGCACCTTAGTCTCTTACTCAAGCACTCCATGATGTGGGCACCAACCTACTTTTCCAGAATTAGTTCCATACTTTTACATGTTAAACAGCCTATTTTCTTACTAGCTGTGTTATTTGCCATTCTCCCCAAATGCTTTATTTTCTTACCTCTGTATTTTTCTTAATGACATTTCCTGTGATAAAAATGCCCATTATCCCCACCTCGAACTTCTATTGCTGAAATCCATACTCATCCTTCTAAGCTTTTTTCTCTGTGATTTTTCCCCCCGATATGTTCAATAAGGCATGATAGTTCCCGTCTTTGAACTCACATAATATGTTATTAACACCTCTTGCACATGCCTATGATCATCTGCCTTATTTTGCAGTACTTCTTATCCTTCCATTAAGACACAAGGGTCTTACAGCTAAGGAGATCGTATCTTAACTATTTCTGTATCTTCCATCTTGTCAAGCACAGTACCTTTCGCAGAAGTACGATAAATTCATGAATGTTTAGGGGCTCATCTCCTAATCTCAGAGTTTGACACCGGCAAAGCTGCAATCTGGGTTGATATTCAGCCCGCATGAATTAGCACAACCACAGTGGCTACTTATTGCTGTGTACATTTTGACAAGTTGGGGCCTGCGTTACGTCAGCTATTAATATTTTCAATATCACTCCTGAAATGAGAGTCTTCCTTAAGATGTTTCTTGGTGCTCATAACAGAAACAGCACACTCAGCTGAATGGGCTGCACACGGTATTTGGGTGCTCCTTCCAAATTACCTACTGTGGGTGGCTCTCGGGGAGGGGACACAGGCTCAGTGCGGAAGATCTGTAATTTAGGCAACCAATGATACCATTTATTAACGTTTCCATTTTCTAATGACCAATACAGACTATCACCTCATTTTGTTTAAATGTGGAACTGAAAACACTGCAATTCAAAGCAGAATCGTAGAGCTCTGTATTTTACATACTGTGATTTCCATCTGTAAGCGGTGGTACTGGAGTTGGCAAGCAGAAAACTACATCTCTGCTGTTGGTAGTTGGCTCTAATTTCAGAGTTTTGGTTTTTTCCTCTTATTCGACTTTACTTGGAGAAAACAGCCCCTTTTAAAAATAATTTCGTTTTACTGCTTGTTTCTCATCATAGCGAAGTGGAGATTATTGGACAGCAGCAAGGGTGCCGGTGGTGAACAGGGAAAGTGTAACAATATAAAGTCAATGGGACATTGGAAAGGAACCACGTAAGGTACCCAAGAAAGTTGACACCAAAGGGGGCCAGCAGGAAAAGATGATGTAGCTAGGAACGGAAGAAACAAGGAGGAAATCTGGAAGAGCCCCTGGTTCTGTTGCTTGTAGAACGGGGCAAACAGATGGGAGAGTTTGGGGCAGACTTGACCACTCTGTGTCTGCCTTCCCCTCTCCCTCGCGTCAGCTCTTCCACTGATGTCCAAGATGCTGTACCAACCATTGCCACTGCCTGCCCTCTAGTTTCCTCTTACCGCTGGACATTTGCACTGGCTGCTGCCACTTGGAATGACTGCCAGGGCTAACTAGGCTGATATTTTGACCCTATGTGTTCATGGAGGCACTCCAGCTACAAACCAAAGGCGATCCCAATTTAGATTACTTGGAATCAGTACCCTAAAATTATGCAGTTTCTAAATACATTCTTGGTGTTTCACAGTTGACAACACTATATTCCCTTAAGTACCAGACTAACAGAAACCCCATGGAATGTTCGCTGTCTCCCAGCAGTCTTTCTAGAGTCAGTCTGAGGTGTGAGACGAATCAGACAGGGGCCTTAGCAAATGTATTTTTAAAATAAACACACTAGAAAGATGATGACAGTTCTTTGAAGGCACAGAGGAGCATGCTTTTACTTATCAGCTGCTCAGCAGAGAGCTGAATTGATATAACAATTATTTCAATTTGCTTTTCACTGACTATTAATGCTGTGATGGTTCACGAAAGAGTGGTGAAGGTTTCCGTTTTCCCTAAGAGGTGAAAGAGGGCCCCTGATGGCACGGGAGAACATTTCTCATTTCACAGATAAAGACTGAGGAGAGATGGAAAGGCTGCCTCCTAGTTACAGATTAGTAGTGCTCCTAACACTCTGCCATGCAGCATTACCTTAAGAAATGAATATGAACATATGAATATAGATTTGAATTTTCTTTCCTCCAGTCTTCCACATCTTCAATGTCTTCATACACACAAAGCAGTCTTATACTCCAGCCAAAACGCTTCTCTGTATTCAACCATATCACACCTTCAGGGTAAACTATCCATCAGGAGTCACCCAAACATAAAAAGGATGAATGTAACGTATACTGTCTCCTGCCACGAGCTTCACCATTGCCAACAGCTGCCTGGACAACTCTGCACTGGGCTTCGTTTCTTTCACTGGTTTGTTGGGAGTACAATGGTTTGGAGAGCCTCAATTTCCACTGGAATGACGTCTGATAGCTTCCAGTCCAAATACAGAATATTTTTTGAATTGTAGGCTATTCAAGGTGAATCTTATTTATCTAAATTAAGCAGAGCTTACATATTTACTATTCATTTTCCTATTTTCATTTCCTTCTCCCTATAGCTTTACAGCCCATGAAGAAGACTGTTTAAATCAATGCACCTAATTTCTTTCTCTACTTTAAGAAAGATATGAACTAAAAAATATCAAAACTTACTTCGAGGAGATGGATAGGTTGGCCTATTTGGATTATCCTGAGGGGAGCTATTATTTACTTCAGCCACAGTGTATAAACAGAGAAGGCAAGCAACTTTATAGTTATACTTGAGTGAGGGAGGTTGTTTTGCTTCCTTCATGTTTTTTCTTCCCCTGAGATCAACTTTCATAGTGTGGCTTGGTGACTAATTAAAAACACACACAAACATGTGTTCCAATGCTTTGGGATTTGGGGGGACCTTGGATTATCTTTGCCTCTCTTCTCTTTATTAACATGGAGGATAACTGCACTGCAAGGCCAAAATGGCCTCTGGAACGAATCATTATCTCAGTTTCCTCACCTGTAATAGCTAATGTGGACATCCTTATGGCCAATTACTTTTAATGATTTAATTACATTTATGGTTTTAAACCACACCTTCCACCCAAACCACATGCTCATAAAATAACAATTAAAAATATTTAATATTAAACACAGTGGGAGCCCTTATTTCTGATTTTTTTTTTGCGAAGTCTACAGTTACCTGAAGATATTTTTATTGGGTTGAAACTTGCAATCATGTAGATGTAGAGGCCTACTGAGAATTCACACATGAACTGAGATCAACTGTCAAAAAAAAAAATCTTCACCGGGAAGGCTTTTTCCCTCCCTTTAGTCCTTGGCTCTGAACATTCACATTTTACAATATCACGTGAGCTGGAAGGGTCTTACCTGGATTCCTGGGAATCCGTTTTCTGCGGTCTCGAAACGCTGCACCTGATTGTAGGGCTTCTAGAAGATTATCCATCACTCCAGTCTCATCGCCCTCTGGAGGAAAGGAGAAATCGGAATTAATCTTGGAGCAATTAAAGTGAAACTACAGGAAAATAAAGGGGGAAAACTCCTGTCAGATTTACATAATACCCTAAATTAAAGACATATATCTGTTTTAACATAATGGATCCTGTCAGTTTCTGGCACCACACACTACTTTGCTTATTACACACCATTAAGCAAAATTCATGCCAATCCCACTGTTCTTTCAACTTAAAGACCTTGTCTTTTGTATTATTGATGACACGCTCAGTATGCAAATAAACAGTAGCTGATCAGCGACTGCTGCCTTCCTGTTAAGATTCTTATAAGATATTCCTAAGCAAGAAACCATTGACCCGGCTTAATGCAATCAATGCACAGGGTGTGATTTGATGAAGCGCAGTTACACAAGGTTAAATACTGATTGTATTAATACCTTCAGCATTCAACCATCATCGGCGATTATCTCCAAAGACACTATTTGCAAAACACATTTGCATTCAATTCCTACCTAATCCATATCCTTTCCCCATTTCAAAATGCTGACATTGTAGAAGGAAAAGGTGACCACATCATAGGAAAGGCCACATTTTTATATTTGAGCAACATTAGCCAGAGTCTCATCATCACTTTTAGAATGCTGCTGTGTTTCTAAGCTTTTCCTATGGGAAAGAACTGTTCAGAATGCATGAGCGGAGTGCGCCAAAGATGTTCATGGAAATTCCTAATGGAAACGTATGTAGAACATTTCACCTTTGACAACTCTGGCCATCCAAAACACTTTTAAGATTTGTTAGAGCATTTGTCTCAAGGTGTCAGTTGCTAGAAACTCTTGACTACACCGTGGATAACGTATGGGGAGCTGGGGCCCCCTTTCCCAAATGGCCTAACTGATGAAAAGGACCCTGACTAGATGGTTAATTTGTGTGAAAGCTAAATGTGTGGGTCTGGGGTAGCAGAAATTTGTAGGCAGGAGGGTTAAGAGAACAAAGAGGGAGGCGTGAAGGAGAAAAAATTGCTTCTTAGGCTGCTCCAAAGTCAAATTTAGGACAATGGGGTATCAGGTCACAGAAATAAGGTATTCTCTTATGTGGCAAGAGCAAGTTGAAATCTTTTCTGATACTGCTCTTCATTTGACTTGAGATTTCTTCGATAATTATACTCCTTTATTCTAAAATGAATTCTCTAGGACTGGATACTGAAAGAAAAAAAAAAGGGAAACACAGAGGTTCTCAGGTCTAATATTTGGTGAAAACAGGAAAAATGAAAGAAAAGTAGAACCCTAGTGACACAGAGGGAAAGAAAATTATGCACTTTTAAGAACATTAAGGCTGCAGACACATCTGAACCATTACACGCTCTTTACAATAGAAAAAAAAGAGGAACAGCAAGTAGTTTGCTGTGGCTGGAATGTATCTGGGAAAATTAAATGTTACGCAGTAGGCACTTTACATTTGTTATATCTTCTAATCCTCTCAACAACACATTGAAATAAGTATTATCTCAGTTTTTCAACTGGGGACATTGAAACTTAGAGTCTTTAAGCATCTTGCTCCATCTCACACAGCTGGCATGTGGAGGGGCCCAGGTATGAACCCAAATCAGGGCCCAGGTATGAACTCAGACCAATTTGACACCAAGACCAGCCCTCTTTGTGTGACAGCTAGCAGAAGATGAAATGGACTAAGCATATGGTGGCCAGATGACGAAAGATCATAATTTTATGATATCAGTTTGGGCATTCTCCTATAAACCAGCGCTGTCCAACAGATATACAATGCATGCCAGAAATGTGACTCACATAAATAATTTTAAATTTTCTAGTAGCCATATTAAAAAAATAAAAACAGGTGATATTAATTTGAATACGTTAAGTAAATATTTAATTCATTATATAAAACAATGATATTTTACATTTGTTTTATCAGACCAAATCTTAGAAATCTAACATGCTTTTATTTTGGCACTTTTCACTTCAGATTAATGACATTTCAAGTGCTCAATCGTTACATGTGGCTTCTGGCTACTGTATTGAACAGCGCAGCTATAAGCAAAGGAAGTGACTTGATCAGATTTATACTTTTCCAAGACTAGTCATACAGCACTATGGTGGATGACTCAGGATGGCATGACAGAAGGCAGAGAGATATTTAGGAGCTCAGTGTAACTGTCTACGAGATAAAGGACTAAACCAAAGGGACAGCAGAGTGTCTGGAGAGGATGGATATTTTGAAGGTATTAATGAAGTCAATAGAACCTGGTTGGGAAGGTGAGATCAAGGGGGAGAGAAAGAGTCTAGATGACCAGGGATGACCAAACAGGTTTGGGAAAATGTGGTTATTTTTTCTTGAGACTTCTAAAAGGAATATCTAAGTAGAAATATTTACTAAGAAATTGGAAATATGAGTCTGGAACCCAGGAGTCAAGTCTGGGCTGGAGCTAGAAGATTTGAGTGCTGTTGGAAGATGAATGAGAAGAGGAGGGGGCATACATAGCATGCAATTCCTGAGGACCCCAATTTTTAATAGGAAGTCTGGAGAAGCAGAACTGCAAAGAAAACATGGGAGAAATTGCTAGAGATACAGAAGTACAACCAAATAAGAGAGCCACAGTACAACTGAATTTCATGTAATCCTTATAAAAATAGTCATTATAGAGACAATGTAGAAAGATGAATATATGTATACAAGTGAAAACAACAGAATACAAAATAGAATGTGTTCGTGATTTTACATAAATAATATGCAAAGTGAAAAAATTTATAACATAATTACATTTTGGGTACCATTTCATTAAAATTCTCTAATGCTATTATATTGTGTACAGATTAAAAAGATGGAAAAAAGGGCCGGCCGAGTGGCTCAGTTGGTTAAGAGTTAGCTTAAGAGCGTGAGCTCTGAGCAACAGGGCCGCTGGTTCGATTCCCCCATGGGCCAGTGACTCTCCGCCCAAGCTGAGCTGCCGCTGAGCTGCCAACAGGTGGCAGGATGGCTCAACTGGTGAGAGAACATGCTCCTAACAACAAGACTGCCTGTTCCATGGTGGGCTACATCCGGCCTGCAACTAAGACTGAATTGGGCACCTTGAGCTTAGAGGCCACGAGCTGCCAATGGGCAGCCAGATGGCGACTGGCGCCCTCCACAACTAAGATTGAAGAGCAACGACTTGGCTGATCCCCTCCCTAATTCCCTAACACTGTTCCCCTCCTCTAATTCCCCAATTTAAAAAAGAAGATGGAAAAAAACAAATATGACATAGAGAGGATTTAAAAATAAATTCCTTTGCTTAATTCAGTGGTTGTCATCTGACTACACTGACCAAAATATGCTAGATCACTGTTTCTGAATTTTTTTTTCCATTATCATTTCCCTTCCCCCCAGGAGTCTATTTAGACATCTTTTTCCTAATCCCCCACCATTAAAATTTAATACCACAGATACACTATATATCTGTTTATGTACTGTGGCCCTTTGAAGGGCTACAAACCATGTGTAACATCTAGGATTTTTCTCTGTTTATCTCCCCAAGAACCAATATTCATCTCCTTGGGGGTGATACTGCCCCTGCTGAGGAGGCATATGCTAAATGGTTCTGGTTTTTTAAAAAAGGTCAGGTCTTTGTAAATATCACTGATGTATTAAAGGAAAGAAATGTAGGTTTCAGTCCACCATTTTCATTTGCTTTATGATAACTTTCAAAGGAGCTAAGAGATTTTCATGAAATGCCTAACCCTAAAGAATGAAGGTTTTATGAATATATCGTAGAATTGATTTATGTTTCATTTAGTCTTCCTAAAACAAAATGGAAGCCAACACCATCATCTGAAAGAAATTATCCTTCATTTTAAATAAATATCAGTGAATTTAGTATGTGATCGAATTGTGTGACGTTGACAATTTCCTTAGAATTTCCAAGTTTATAGAACCATTCATTCTTTTTTCCCCCCCATTCATTCTTACTTAGATGTGGTTAGTAGCAAGTAGCTAGGGTTTTTTTTGTGTTCTTTTTACAATTTTTTTGGTCTATGTGGTCAAACTCAGGGGAAAAAAAGTCTTTTAAGTTTAGTGGTTTGTTGTTTCTTTTAGCGGAAAAAAACGTGTTTTTTTTTTCACTGAAAAGGAAAATAGCTTTGTTGAGTTACACAGAAAAATGTGCTTTCTTACAATTTACAATACCTATTTTACTGAGTGAAAGAATTATCAAGGAGAAAACTGTTAATGCTTTTTAGCCAGTAAAATGGTAATATATGGACATGTCTGAGAAGTAATAATCCAGAGGCAACTCTAATCTTTCATCCTGAAATCAGATCACAGACAGCATTAAGGAACAAGGTAGGCTGCTTGCAGTCCTGTGCGCTCTGTGTGAGCTACTTATTTTGGGGCAAAATGAAAGGCCTGGGTTGTACCTTCGGTTTCATGTTTCCAACAGTATTGGTCATTCAGTGATGCTGAATGCCTGCTGATCTGAATTTTCAGCATCAACATTTACCTGTGGCATGTTGACTTAATTTGCCTAGAAGAGTTTGGAGATGCCACAGATTAAAATTAGCACTAAGCAAATGATCTCTGTTACACCTCTATGTAAGACTATTCCGCAATGGCTAGCACAGGCTGATTTAGAGGCTGTTCTCTATGGGTTTCTCACACTTCGGCACATTTTGTTAGCACAAGCACTAATGGCCTTTGTTCTGGACTATCTTTTCAAGGATGTTTTTATAGCGAACAGCTTTGAAAGACTTAGTGTCTCCCTCCAGGGCAGAGGGCAGGTATGTTTGCTTTCAAGACAGGTTGTATCTCCCTTTAGGGAAGATGTCAGGCATGTTTGCTTTCAGTCCCTTATAAAAGATTTGGGTTCCCTAAGCCTGGGTTCTTCAGCAGCGATCCAAACCCATGGTGTGTGCATAGCATTCACCTGGACCCACCTTGGCCTCACCCTGTGGGAGTTGGAAGGCCAGGGAAAGCCATGCGAACATGAGATTCACACTGCTTGCGGTACCATGAATAACAGAGTTC